ATCCCACTTATTATTGGCTGTAAAAGTTCGAAACAAAGTCAGTTCACAGTTTTTCTAAACTTTTTTTGTTTTACTTTTTTTAAACAAGAAAAATAACAATTAACATTTTTTTCTTTTTTTCTTGTCCTTCCTCCCATCAAAAGGCAACTTTCTCTCTTGTTTTCCTGTTGTTTTTTGCCCCCCCACCCTGTCGACTTTCGGTACTGTAGCGAGTTTTCTTGTTTTCTTGAGAGAAACGATAACATTTTATAAAACAAAGTGAATTAAATAGCGAAAATAGCGAAATCTCTGGGTCATTGACACACACACACATACTCCAAATATTCTGCTGTGAATCATTCTTTTTTACGTTTAAAAATAACTATTTTCTCTCATCAGCAGTTTTGTGAGTTTAATAAACAAACACACACAAACACACACAAATGACGTCAACTCGTTTTCCTACCCCCTGCCCTGTTCTGTGTGGCTTTACCCCAGTGTGTGTAGATGATAACAATAATAATCCTTCGCATTTGATGTACAACAACAACTTGCATTTACACAGAACCCTCCATGCAGGATAGCGTCTCAGAGTGCTTAACGGGAAGCACTATAAAGTGCAGTGACTGTATTTTGTGGGTGAAACGCGCAAGCCAGTTTGCGCACCGCAGTGTAATAATAATAATAAACCTTGCATTTGATATAGCGCCTTATCACCTTGTCGAGTCGAAAGCGCTTCACGGGATACGCTATAAAGTGACTGTATTTTGGGGGTGAAACGCGGCAGCCAATTTGCTCACAGCAGCATCTCATAATCAGTTGTGGAGTGAGCGACCACATTTTTTTTCTTGGAGGTGGGGGGGAGGGATTTTATTTGAGGGATTGTTGGCCAGAACACCAGGAGAGAGAAACTCTTTCTCTTTTGAATAGCGTCATGGGATCTTTTAACATCCACCTGAACAGACAGACAGGACCTCAATTTAACGTCTCATCACAAAGCTCCTACAAACCAGCCCAAATCCAATTATTCCTTAATGAATCCCATCTCCCCGGGAGCATGTCACCCTCCCTCTCCCCTCCCCCTGTCTCCATTCCCTCCTCTCTGGTGATCCATTATCACTCACAAGAGCGAAATCTTAGGCGAGTTTCCTTACTCTGCACACAGGCCTCTGTTTACCCGGCAGTAAGTAGGAACCCAGTTGTTAGTCGGTTGGCGGATCACTTTCCAGAGATAATAACCTAACACCCCAAAAAATATATAATTTGGTTACTCAGTCCATGACTGTTTTTGGGACACTGCTGTGCGCAATTGGCTGCTGAGTTTCCCCACAAAATACACAGTGAATCCACTTGACAATATAGTCTGTGAAGCGCTTTGAGACCTGTCAAATATGTGATAAGGCGCTGTATCAAATGCAACGATTATTATTATTAAATGCAAGTTGTTGTTACCTCTGTAGCCCCTCTCTCTCCTCTCCCCTTCCCCACCCCACTCCAGTACCTGCAGGTATTCAGTTACTACACTTTATTAATAATAATCCTTGAATTTGATATCATGCATCAGGGAGGAGAGATAAGGAATAGTTTTTAAGAATGTAAGAAAAAGAACGTCTTGTTCTGAGGAATAGACACCCAGAAAGGAATGTCACATCTCACTGGATTAGCTGATTGATATCAGCTTCCCATAGACTGGGAGTCTTCAGTGATAATCACTGCTCTCCTCTTCTTTCAGGCACTTTATCATCATCATCATAATAATGATAATGATCCTTGCATTTGATATAGCGCCTTATCATATCATTGAGACGTCTCAAAGCGCTTCACAGAATGTATTGTAAAGTGGAGTGACTTTGTATTTTGTGGGCGAAACGCAGCAGCCAATTTCACGCAGCAGTGTCCCACAAACAGTGGTGGATTGAGTGAACAAATCACTTTTGTTAAGCAAAGTGATCCTCCAATTGACTAACAACCAGGTTCCTACTTACTGGTATAGAATAAGGAAACTTGCCTAAGGTTTCTCCCTGACTGGGAATTGAACCTGGGTCCCCTCGCTTGCGAGGCGAGTGCGTTAACCGCTACATTGCGGCACTACACAAAGCCTTAGTCTTAGCCTTTTGTTTCATATGTTAAGATGTTCCAGAACAGTGGAAAATTCAGTCTTAATTCATGTAAAGTGTAGTGACTGTGTACTTTGTGGGCGAAAACGTGGCAGCCTATTCCCTCACTGCGATGCCCAAACAAATAGCTATGAGAAACAGGAGGAGGCCATTCAGCCCCTCGAGCCTGTTCCGCCATTCTATAAGATCATGTCTAATCTGTACCTCAACTCCAATTACCCGCCTTTAAGCCATATCCCTTGATACCCTGACCTAACAAACCTCTACCCACCTCGGGCTTGAAAATGTGATCGGATCCAGCCATAATTCACAGCCGCTTGGAGGGAGGGAGAGAAAGAGAGAGAGAGTTCCAGATTTCCACTACCCTATGGGTGTAAAACTGCGAGGTGAATGTTCTAATCGTGTCCAGGGGTGTGTCGACCAGGAGAACCTCTCTTCTCTTTCGCCCGGGAAAATCATGGGATCTCTAGCGGGTACCTGCGTGTGCCCAGACAGTCCTTGGTTTAGCTCGCAGCCATAACTCAGGCAGAAATGGAAATAATTAACACTGTAATAACATCACGTATGATGTGCAAACTATCTCAGTGCACACCACATTTATTCGGAAACACCCTCCATCCAAAATGTTTCTATCCACCACTGCCCAGCCCAGAGCTATGCCAATCGCCAACACATAATAATAATATTAATAATAATCCTTGCATTTGATATAGCTCCTCATCATGTCGTCGAGACTTCTCAAAGCGCTTCACAGGATATACTGTCAAGTGAGGTGACTATTTTGTGGGCGAAATGCGGCAGCCAATCGTGCACAGCAGCGTCCCACGAAGAGTCGTGGACTGAGTGACCAAATCTTTTTTTTAGGAGAAATTATTACCTTCGGGAAGTGATCCGTCCTGGGAATGGACTGGGGGGGAACGCGGGGATGAGGTTGGGTCAGTGGAAGCTGCAGGGGAGAAGGTGAGGATATCAAGGGGACAGGGGAAGAGAGAGAGAAAGAGGAGGGAATGAGTGTATGGCAAGGGCGAAACCTTGGGCAAGTTTCCTTACTCCACACAGAGCCTAATAATAATCCCTCCAAAAAACAAAAACAATAATTAAATTGGTAATTTTTCAATCTATGACTCTTTGTGGGACATTGCTGTGCGCAATTGGCTGCCGCGTTCGCCCACAAATATACAGTCAACTCACTTTACAGTATATTCTGTGAAGCGCTTTGGGACGTCCTCCCGACGTGAAATGCAAGGATTAAGGATTATTATTATCAAGGGAAACGCTTTCAAAACCTGATGTTCCATTTGCATTTGAGAGAGAGTTTTACAAACCACACACAACCCTTCCTCTCCTGTGGTTTGTGTTAAAATAAGAAACTTCCCTGTGTTTTCTCCCCAGCAACCATCACAACAACAATTTGCATTAATTCCTTCATATTAGGTAATGTGCTGTGACACTGTGACACCATTCCAAAAGAGAAAGGAGTTTCCCCCATCCCCCTGTGTCTCTGTACAACACCCTCGCCCGCCCCACTGCACACCCTCCCCCCCCCCCACTGCACCCCCCCCCAATCCAGATAAAACGGGGTCGTTTACCTCACAGCTGTCTGTGGGGCATAGATGTGCCTGTGTATTTCATACAAGCACCTCATCATGTCGTTGCGACGTCTCAAAGTGCTTCGTGGGATATATTTTGTAGGTGTAGTGACTATATTTTGTGGGCGAAACACAGCGGTCAATTGTACACAGCAGTATTCCCACAAACCGTCCTGGATTGAGTCACCAAGTTATTATTATTTGTCGTTGCCGCGATAGGCCACTAAACACACAGTAACTCCACTTGACAAGAACCTGAGAGGCGATTCGAGACTTCCTCCTGACGTGAAGAGCACTGTATCGAAGGGTGTGCCAAGTGCAAGGATTATTAGTATTACATTATTTTTTTAATAAAAAGTTGAGACACATTCTACTCCAGACCAATGTTTTTGTTGTCGTGCGTCCCACCTCCTGTTTTCAAATAAAACAATCGCCCACAAAATGCACACGTACATTCGCTTTACGGTCTGTCCTGCAAAGGGCTTGAAGACGTCCGCACAACGCGCGCGATAAGGCGCTGTATTAAAATTCCAAGGATTATGATATATACTGTGTATTATTTCTATTATCGAAACCCCTCAGACGTTTAGAAACAAAAACCGGAAGCGCCAGAATTCACTTTCTCTGGTGGGTGGGGATGGGGGGGATGGGGGGATGGGGGGGATGGGGGGGGGGGTTTGCTGATTAAAATGACCTCCTTATTTGCCAATCTTTATGTCACTGTGTGTCTCACCCCCCAGAGAAAAAAAAATACTCCACTAAAACTGCTTTTCAGCCCAATTTTGCTTCTGATCCAATAATGAAATGGAAACCACTGGTGTGTGTGAGTGTAGTCTTCCACCACTGTGTGTATTCTCTCTCTCTCTCTCTCTCTCTGGACTTCCCTGAAACTTGACGAGTCGGTGGTGGTTGGAACTTGTCCACATGACGTCTGTTGGAAGTGGGAGGGCGCATTTTCGCTATTTAGCGACTGCGAAAGCGAGCACACGTTGCGGAAGAGGAGGAGAATTGGGTTTGGGGGGTGTGGGAGGCGGTTGGTATATAAAGGAAATGATAGGAAAGGAGAGTGAGGAAAGGACTGTTCGGTTGTGTGTGGACTTCACTCACTCACTCAGTGACTCACATCGTTCCAGTGAGAGACACTCTCTCTCTCTCTCTCTCTCTCTTCATCCAAACTTTCAGACAACTTTTTTTTTGGGGGCGTCGACTGGACTCTGAGAGAGGAATAAATTGATCAATCGGTTGAGTGGGGAGTAAAAGAGAGAGAGAGAGAAAAAAAAATCCAGAGAGACCGAGAGAAGAGAGTTGGGGGAAAAAAAGAAGGAAAACTTTTTGAAACTTTTTTTTGGGGGAAAAAAAAAGTGATTTCGCTTTTAAAAGGTCTCTCACGATGCAGAAATGCTGCGCTGTGCTCTGTGTCCTCCTCCTCCTCCTGAGCCTCCTCACCCCCTCACTGACCGCACCGGTACGTTGTTTGTTTATTGATATTTTTTTGGGGGGAGAATGGTTGGTTTTGGGGTTCGTTCTGTGTTGTTTGTAAACGGAAAACAAAGTCTCTCTCTCTGTGTCTCTCTCTGTCTCTCTGTGTCTCTCTCTCTCTCTCTGTGTGTCTCTCTCTCTCTCTGTGTGTCTCTCTCTCTCTCTGTGTGTCTCTCTCTCTCTCTGTGTCTCTCTCTCTCTCTGTGTGTCTCTCTCTCTGTGTCTGTCTCTCTCTGTGTCTGTCTCTCTCTGTGTCTGTCTCTCTCTGTGTCTGTCTCTCTCTGTGTCTGTCTCTCTCTCTGTGTGTCTCTCTCTCTCTGTCTCTGTGTGTCTCTCTCTCTCTGTCTCTGTGTCTCTCTCTCTCTGTCTCTGTGTGTCTCTCTCTCTGTCTCTGTGTCTCTCTCTCTCTCTCTCTCTGTGTTCTCTCTCTCTCTCTCTCTCTCTGTGTGTCTCTCTCTCTCTCTCTCTCTATGTCTCTCTCTCTCTCTCTGTCTCTCTCTCTCTCTCTATGTCTCTCTCTCTCTCTCTCTATGTCTCTCTCTCTCTCTATGTCTCTCTCTCTCTCTATGTCTCTCTCTCTCTCTATGTCTCTCTCTCTCTCTATGTCTCTCTATGTCTCTCTCTCTCTCTCTCTGTCTCTCTCTATGTCTCTCTCTCTCTCTCTCTCTCTATGTCTCTCTCTCTCTATGTCTCTCTCTCTCTCTCTATGTCTCTCTCTCTCTATGTCTCTCTCTCTCTCTCTCTCTATGTCTCTCTCTCTCTATGTCTCTCTCTCTCTCTCTCTATGTCTCTCTCTCTCTCTCTCTCTCTCTATGTCTCTCTCTCTATGTCTCTCTATGTCTCTATGTCTCTCTCTATGTCTCTCTCTCTCTCTCTCTATGTCTCTCTCTCTCTCTCTCTATGTCTCTCTCTCTCTATGTCTCTCTCTCTCTCTATCTCTCTCTCTCTATGTCTCTCTGTCTCTCTCTATGTCTCTCTCTCTGTCTCTCTCTATGTCTCTCTCTCTCTCTCTATGTCTCTCTCTCTCTCTCTATGTCTCTCTCTCTCTCTCTCTATGTCTCTCTCTCTCTCTCTCTATGTCTCTCTCTCTCTCTCTATGTCTCTCTCTCTCTATGTCTCTCTCTCTCTCTCTATGTCTCTCTCTCTCTCTCTCTATGTCTCTCTCTCTCTCTATGTCTGTCTCTCTCTCTCTCTATGTCTCTCTCTCTCTCTCTATGTCTCTCTCTCTCTATGTCTCTCTCTCTCTCTCTCTGTCTCCTCTCTCTCTCTCTCTCTCTCTGTGTCTCTCTCTCTCTCTCTGTGTCTCTGTGTCTCTCTGTCTCTGCCCCGCCCCTCTCTGCCCCCCCCCCCTCTGCCCCCCCCCCCCTCTGCCCCCCCCCCTCTCTGCCCCCCCTCTCTGCCCCCCCCTCTCTGCCCCCCCCCCCTCTCTGCCCCCCCCCCCTCTGCCCCCCTCTCTGCCCCCCCCCCTCTGCCCCCCCCCCCCTCTGCCCCCCCCCTGCCCCCCCCCCCCTCTGCCCCCCCCCCCCCGCCCCCCCGCCCCCCCCTGCCCCCCCCCCCCCCCTCCCTCTGGTCTGTTATCCAATTCAGAAAGAGAACATTTCATTTCAGGACAGAAGTGCTGCCAATGCCCTAATGTCAGTGTGTCCCCGAGTGTGGAGGTGTGTGTGATTCTCAGTGTGTGTGTGGGGGGGGATTGCAATGTGGCGATGTGTTGGTGTTGAGGGTGAGAGCACTGTGTAGTGTTGGAGCCTATAGGAATGTCAGTGGGAGTCTGGGTGTGATACTGATGTTTGGGGGGGGGGGGCCTTGGGGATGGCCTCAGTGCCTCTGGGGGGGGAGGAGGAAGATTAATTATCCAGAGTTGATTTTCCTGATCACTACCCAATGCCCACTCCCTCCTTTCCCGCCCTGAAATGTGCACAGGATTGGCCTTGGCTGCCTTTCCCTTTCCCTCTCCCTCCCCCCTCTACCCCCCCCCACCCACCGTGACCCCCTGGGGGCTCTCTGTATCCCAGAAGAGAGCCCAAACGTGGGTGGGTCTGTTTGCTGGTGATTGATTTGGGGTGAAAAAGAGAGCGACACAATTGGCATCGGAATCAAAGCAAACGATTTGCTGTTTTAAAAGAACAAAAAGGGGGGGGGAGCGGGAGAGGGGGAGAGAGGAAAGTGGGGCCAGAGGTTAACGAGATATCAAACGTGACCCCAGGAAATGGCGGTTGGCCGAAGAGCTTTGATCTCTGAAGTCCTGTAACCTATTGACGGTTATTAAGTGAGACGGGAGATTTTCTGCCCTGAGCTGCCGTCCCGAGAGAGACGGGTTCCTCCAACAACATTCATGTGATAGGGGCACCTGTCCATTCTGAGCTGTAACCTTTATGACGTGTGTGTAAAGAAAACAAATACCGCACAGTATCTTCCTGCGAAGCACTCTGAGGTGTCTCGACGACGCGATAAGGCGCTATATCACATGAAAGGGTTATATTAAAGCAATTAGTCAGCCAACGTGTGTGCGTTTTATTATTATATGTCGAGTGATTCATAGTTCATGGAGTTTGCTGACTTGTGCTGTTTGTTTACAATCACGGAGTCTTTGCAGGACGGAAGGAGGCCATCCTTGGTGCCTGTGTACGTGTAGTCTCTGAGAGAGCTCTCCTTTTCGCCCCACTCCCCGGGCTTCTTCCGTGCCCCCCCCCCCCCCCCCAAATTCCCTTACACCAACTTCTCGTTGGCAATGCTTCTTGTGGAAAGTTGTGCTGCCTGGCAGACTGGAATAACACAGGGCGTTAATCACCGTGTTTCATGATCCCCCCCCCCCCGCCCCCCCGCCCCCGCTAGCCTCTACATACCAGCGTCTGGCTCTGTGGCCCAGCCCTCCCCGAGCTCTCAGCCCAGTTTGAGTGGGGAGTGTGGGTTTGGGGGGAATGTTAATGCGCGTTTTATTGCACTATGGAAATGTACTGAGCAATGGCAAGCCTCAGTGACTTTCCCAGGGCACAGGTTAAAGTAGTTATTTTTATTACTAGCGACGGCCTCAAGTAGTGTGTGTTGATCAGAGCGTATTGTGCCTATGCGTTTGAGGGGTTACGTGCTCTGCCACTGTCGAACGCTCTTGAGACATTACCCGGCGTGAGGGGAGGCTACGTAAATGTAAGCTGTTGTAGCTGTTACTTTATCGTAACACGAAAATATTTTGAGTTGATTTGGGAACTGTGTGATCTTACAATTGGGGATGTGCGATACTCTGCAGTGGGAATATCGCCTGGCGATTGGCTGGCTAGCGGTTTCGGGAGCGGGGAATATTTTGGAAGGGTTTGGGATATTTCCACACTCGTTCCTCTTTCACATTCCCACCGAGGACTGCGGCTTGACTGATGGTCGCTCCTGAATGTCTTGCTCACGCTGTGATCTCCAGGGTTGGGTTTAATGTAGATTGTATTAATGGGGGGGGGGAACCCCAACTTTAGAGACCACTGTGAGTGAGACATTGGGATTACCTGGAAAAATATACAGTCAATTCACTTGACAGTATATGCTGTGAAGCGCTTTGAGACGTCTCAAAGACACGATAAGACGCTATATCAAATGCGAGGATTATTATTATGATTAACTTCAGAGTTAAATGTAATAATCGTCACTTTATTGTCTGCTCCTTAAAGGGTTGTGAGGAGGTGATGGGGGGTTGAGGTGGGGGGGAGGTGATGGGGGGGTCGAGGTGGGGTGAGAGGGGGACGAGAGTGGGGGTGGGCGAGAGTGGGGGGGAGGTGATGGGGGGTCGGGGTGGGGTGGGGGGGGGGCAAAAAGTTTTAAAAAGAACACTGTCCGTACATATGTACGTGACGTACTATTACGTGACATGAAACCGCCCCCGGAATCTTTTTGCTGTAAATGTTCCCGGTCGGGGAGACGGTGTGAGCGACGTCACCGCGCGTGACGGGCGCCGTACAAATGCACGTTGTCGGTGCGTGTTGATGACCTCCCGTGTTTTTCCGTGTGATGTGACATTCACACCCACCCAGTCACTGCCCCTTGAGCAGTGGTGATTAGTGTCTCTCTGTTTACTTCAGTGTGTCGGAATCCCTCAGCATTGTGGGCGAGAGGTATAGTGTTGTCACAACCCTGTTTTGTGTGGGGAGAAGGCGGTGATTTCCCCCCCCGGGCGTCCCTGTTTCCCCTCTTTCCCCCCCCCCCCCATTTGACCTCCCCACCCCACCCGCCTCGCTGCTATAACTGTTAGTCCGTCTCCCCCCCCCCCGCCCCCGGAGTCTCGTTCACGTCGTGCCTGGTTGCTGGATAAAACCCGCTCGGTCTCTGGTTCCTTCCTCTGACGATGCTCCTCTCTCCTGGAGGCCATTTGCTCCTTCTCCGCTGTTGTCTGATCTTCTTCTTAAAGGGACCGCGCCGCCCTCAGTGTTGGTGGCCCCCCCGGTTGGGATCCGGTCTCCAAGCCACAGGATATCCCATCATGCCTTGTGCTGTGGAGGACGCGCAAAACATGGTGTCTGTGCTTTATTACACCAATTGTCTCCTTATCCGTTTGGCCCACAAAATACAGTCAGTTCACTTTACTATAACCCTGTGAAGCACTTTGAGACGTCTCAACGACATAAGGAGCTTCAAACGCAAGGATTATTATTATTGTTCTGAGGGTTGTATGTGTAGTGTTGAGAGATTGGAGTGTGCCTGTGAGTCTATTATTGAAGGTGTAGGCGTGTGTGCTGTATGTGTACATGTATGTGAACCTCAGACTGTTATTTACCTCCTCACTCAAAGGCAGGTCCAGAGTAATTAAAAATTAATAATTTAGTAATAATCCTTCCATTCGCTATACCAGGAGGATGTCTCGATGCTTCGCAGTAATTCAGTTTTACAAAGTGCCTTTGCCGGTTTTAAAACGTCCTTTTTTTTTGTTCAACCGAAACGTGCACCGGATGGGGATTGTGAGAAATGTTTATATTTATCTCAAAGCAGATTATAAAAGTCAACACATGCTTATGGTCACCTCTATCTATCCCACCCCCAACCCACCTCCCCCTGGCTCGATGTCAGGCTCCGCCACTGTTAAGTGCTCCAAGACGCTGTGTTGTCTAATCTCAGTAAGACGGGCAATTCTCAACACCCACCAACTGCACTGCACGTCACTCGTTCATCACATGAGTTTTCCCCCAAGGAACAAAATTAATAAGAACCAACAATAATCCTTACGTTCGATACAACGTCTTTCATGTCTATAGGACGTCTCAAAGCTCTTCCCGTGACGTTTTTACAAAGTGCAGGCCAACACGGCGGCCGATTTGCACGTAGTAAATGTCCCACAAACGGGCCTTCAAGTGGATGAGTAGCAATAATAATAATAATCCTTGCATTTGCCTTATGTTGTTGAAGCATCTCAAAGTGCTTCACAGGATATACTGTAAAGTGGATTGAATGTATGTAGTGGGCGAGTGATTATGTTTGACCGGGGGTCTGTTGGCCAGGATTCCGACCAGTACAGAGCAACTCCCTCCTCTCTTCAAGTCGTGACATGGGATCTTTATAAAGTCCACCTGAGCGGGCAGGCAGGGAGCTCAGGTTAATGTCTCACCCAAAGGACAGCACCTCTGTGCTCCCCCCAGCATTGCGTTGAAGAATCAGCCTAGACTTGACTCAAAAGTCCTCAAAGTGGGCCAGGAACCCGCAATCCCTTGGCCCTGGGGTAGGGCGGAGAGCCAAGCTGACGCCAAATTTCTGTTTTAAGACTGTTTTATTAAAGATGTTGCAGAATTGTGGAAAAATTTAAAATGGCCTGGATTCGGAATCTGGTTCCCAGCGCTTTCCACAGTTCAGATCATGGGTTGAATGGTCTCACAGGGTGGGATGATGAGAAGTTTGGGCCTTATAAGGGCTTTAAGCCCCAAAACCCATGACATTTCCACGAAGGAATCGTGCGTCGTTGTGGGAGAAACATTTTCTCTCAGGGGAGGGAGGCGGAGACACCTGGAGATAAAAGCTTCTCTCTCGTGTTGCTCTGTTTTTATTGGCATTGATTTCTGGCTGTGCCATTGACTAATGCCTCAATCCCCCTCCTTCCCAGCCCCCACCCCCCACCCAACCCTCACTACCTCTCGTCCGTCTGCTATCCCTCCCTTCAAAGCAGTTTTGTTCCAGAAAGGAATTGAAGCTTCAGAACAGGGTGTGTTTCCCGCACATTCCTTCACTGAAGGACAGGGTGCCAGAGGCGAGTGGAGCAGCTCCAGCTAACGGCCTGACTGCTCTGCTGCAGAGTGATATCATTAATAACGTGCAGTCCTGTAGCTCAGTGCTTACAGCACTCGCCTCGCAAGCGAGAGGACCTGGGTTGGATTCCCGGGCGGGGTGAAATCTTAGGCAAGTCTCCTGATTCCACGCGCCTCTGTTTGCCCGGCAGTAAGTAGGAACCCAGATGTTAGTCAATTAGCAGATCGCTTTCCGCAGGTAATAATCCTCCCCCCCCCCCCCCCCTCCCAAAAAAAAAATCATAATTTGGTCAATCAATCCACGACCGTTTGTGCAGAATTGGCCGACGCGTTTCACTCACAAAATACAGTCACTCCACTTTGCAGTATATCCTGTGACGTAATGTCTTGAGACGTCTCAAAGCTGCGATCAGGCGCTGTATCAAATGGACGGATTATTAACTCCTGATCTACTCTCTGCCAGTTTGAAGCCGACTCAGGGCAAACATGATGACGTTGGCCAGATTCTCCTCCCTCCCCCGCCACGCCGCCTCTCTTCCCCCCCTCCACCCCCCCCCACCCCCAGTCCCCCCAGTAAACCAGCCAGTCAGTCATACTTGGCATCTCTCGCTCTGCATTCCTGGGTCTTTCTGACGATGGATCTTTCTCCTGTTAATTCCCTCACACCACGTTCTATGCCATAGCTCACTGCTGTTCGGGGAAAAAAAACTTGATGGCGGTTTCCCTGTGACGTGCAGCGACATGTGTTTTGATGCAACAAGCGTGAGGATTATTAACTCTCCAACTGCTCCGTACTTGCCGCTCAGCCTCTGCGACGCGCACTGTTGTACACGCACAGAGAGAGGGGCAGCAATTCTTGTACCAGGGAGTCGGTGGGTAATTAATAATAATGGTGAAAATAATTATAATCCTTGCGTTTGATATAGCGCCTCATCACGTCGTTGAGACCTTTCAAAGCGCTTCGCAGGATCTATTGTAAAGTGAATTGACTGTATTTTTGTGGGTGAAACGCGGCAGCCAATTGCGCACAGCAGCGTCCCACAAACAGTCGCGGTTTGAGTGATCTATTTTTTTTAAAATAACTGATAATTGGGGGGCGGGGGAAGCGGATTTCAGACCGTTTTCACTGAATGGTCATCAATGTTCACTGTGTAATACTGGGTAGAGACTGAGTAAACTGTACTGGCACCTGCTCTCGCTCGCTCTGTTGTTTGCCTGGTCACTCTGTCATTCTCACGCTCTCTCTCTCTCTCGTCACTATTTGTTCTGGTCCCATGTTTCACCCTGAAGGCTGTAACATTGTCTGCCTTTGGCAGGCGGTCACTGTTCAAACTCTGGAACTCTCTCCCTCAATCCCTCCGACGTGCCCTCTCCCTCCCCACTTTCAAATTCCACCTAAAGACCTTTGTTTTTGATGGTGCTCACAGTCACCCCCAATCCCCCCAACTCGGGGTCAGACTCCACCACTGTCAAGCCCTCCGTGACGCTGCTCAGCGTGAATGATGCTGTAAAAATGCTCATTGTTGTTCAATCCTCCAATGCTGAAGCCCACGCGGTTATCTCTGAATAACACACGTACGTCCAGTCAGAATAATGAGCCTCGCATTTGACACAGCGCCTTATCATGTCATTGAGACGTCTCAAAGTGCTTCATGGGATATCCTGTAAAGTGGAGCGACTGTTTATTTGAGGGTGAAACGCAGCAGCCAGTTGACAAATGCCGTCCCCTTGTCCCGATTCCTGAGAGAATGTCTCCCGTTTTCCCCGCAGGGCAGTCGGGTCGCATCTGTAAATGATCTGGACGGCGTGGAATCTTCAGGATTCACCCCGAGCTATGAGGACGAGGAGGAAGATGATGGCAGCTCTGGTTTCAGCTCTGGAGACGGGATCATTATCGGTAATGTTTTATCTCAGGGGCTGTTTGGGGGGAGGGTTAGGGAGGGGGCGCGAGTACGGGGCATTTTTCATGTGATGGACGTATAGATTAAGGGATCCATTTTCAGTATATCTCTATAATTAATCAATCGGCTATTTGATTGTCCTCCGATCTGATTGATCGGGAGCCCTGCCTGTGGCTGGCTCATTTACAGAGTGGTTTCCTTGTGTTCTCGCTATATATGTAGCCCGTTCCTTTGGTGACCCCTTTATTAGGAGGAAGTGGCTTTGTTGAACCGAAACGGCACCTTCCTGTGTTACTGTAATGTCTGTCTGAGCCCTCAGCCTCTCGCTTCAGTCACTCACTGATTACAAGAATCCCCCGCTCTGTCTGCACTCAGGTGGAAAGTCCGGGCCGGAGGGGAGAGGCAGTGGGTAGTTTGGGGTGAAGAGTGGAGAGAGGTTAATGATGTGGTTAGAGCACTCACCTCGCAAGCGAGCCGACTCGGGTTCGATTCCCAAACGGGGCGAAATCTTAGGCAAGTTTCCTTACTCCACACACGCCTCTGTTTACCAGCAGTGAGTAGGAACCTGGTTGTTAATAGGGACAATAATCCCTTAAAAATAAATAAAAAATAATTTGGTGATTTAATCCACGGCTGTTTGTGCGGACGCTGCTGCGTGCAATTGGCTGCTTTGTTTTGCTCACAAAATGCAGTCAATCGACTTTACAGTATATTCTGTGAAGCGCTTTGAGATATCTCGAAGACGTCATAAGATTCTATAACAAATGCAAGGATTATTATTATTATTGACTTACCTAAGCGTCTCTTTCCCTTGTGATCTGCAGATGAGGATGGATTGGAGCCCGTTGACAATGAGGTAAGCCTCGTCCTCTTTCTAACTTGTGATGTTTGCCAGGTTTATCCGGGTCGCATGTTTTTTTTAAAAAAAAAATCTATATTATCTTGACTCGGTTGAGATGCCTGACACAAAGAGAAAACCCACCCAGTCTCCAAGCGAGGCTGAGGCCCCCCACCCCCCCCCCACCCCCCCACCATGATGGCCGAGGGTCAACTAAGCCGCTACAGCGAGGGGTTCAAATTCCCTGTTGCCTCAGTGACTATTCTCTCCCGTCAGTCCGTCACCTTCACCCTGTGTGTCTATGTGAAGACCCTCCTCTTCTACCGTATCTCCAGTCAACCCCCCCCCCCCCCCCCCCCCACCGGCTCGGGCTCGTGTATCACCACTGTCGAGCGCTCTGGAACCCTGTGTGAGGTGCGTTGTGTAAGTGTGTGTATGTGCGAGAGAGAGAGAGTGGGGCGGAGGCGAGTGCTGAGATTCGGGGTGTGATGGGAATCTCTGTGTGCTTTCCCAGCTTGACGACTTGGACAACATGATTAACGAGACTGACCCCTGGGGGTCCAAGGAGCTGGAGGAGGTGCAGCTGGGAAATGAGGTGGGGATCCTGAAGAAATCATCGCCAAACCTCCAGAGCAATAGTGTGTCCATGGCCAGCTCCCACGGCAACCTGCTGGACAGCACCGAAGTGGTGGCAGGTAAGCAACTGCCTCTCGTACCCTCTGCAACCCGCACGGGGCAGCTCACAGCGGGGAGGGTGGTGTGTGTCTGTGGTTAAGCGCTCTGAGACGCTACCTTCCCTGTACGGGGCTATGTAGATGCATGGTGGGGGGGTGGGGGGTGAGCGTGCATATGCGGTGTGGTGTAGTGAGGTGGTGCTGACTGTGTGTGTGTGTGTGTAGTGAGGTGGTGCTGACTGTGTGTGTGTGTGTAGTGAGGTGGTGCTGACTGTGTGTGTGTGTGTAGTGAGGTGGTGCTGACTGTGTGTGTGTGTGTAGTGAGGTGGTGCTGACTGTGTGTGTGTGTAGTGAGGTGGTGCTGACGGTGTGTGTGTGTGTGTGTAGTGAGGTGGTGCTGACTGTGTGTGTGTGTGTGTAGTGAGGTGGTGCTGACGGTGTGTGTAGTGAGGTGGTGCTGACTGTGTGTGTGTAGTGAGGTGGTGCTGACTGTGTGTGTGTGTGTAGTGAGGTGGTGCTGACGGTGTGTGTAGTGAGGTGGTGCTGACGGTGTGTGTGTGTAGTGAGGTGGTGCTGACGGTGTGTGTGTAGTGAGGTGGTGCTGACTGTGTGTGTGTGTGTAGTGAGGTGGTGCTGACTGTGTGTGTGTAGTGAGGTGGTGCTGACGGTGTGTGTGTAGTGAGGTGGTGCTGACGGTGTGTGTGTGTGTAGTGAGGTGGTGCTGACGGTGTGTGTGTAGTGAGGTGGTGCTGACGGTGTGTGTGTGTAGTGAGGTGGTGCTGACTGTGTGTGTGTAGTGAGGTGGTGCTGACGGTGTGTGTGTGTGTGTAGTGAGGTGGTGCTGACGGTGTGTGTGTGTGTGTGTAGTGAGGTGGTGCTGACGGTGTGTGTAGTGAGGTGGTGCTGACGGTGTGTGTGTGTGTAGTGAGGTGGTGCTGACTGACTGTGTGTGGTGAGGTGGTGCTGACTGTACCTGGTTATGTGTCCGCAGCACTGATCGCCGGTGGAGCCATTGGGCTGCTGTTTGCTGTGCTGCTGATCTTGCTGCTAGTTTATCGCATGAGGAAGAAGGACGCAGGCAGCTACGACCTGAGCAAGAAGCCCATCTACACCAAGGCCCCCACCAACGAGTTCTACGCATAGACCTTCACACTCCCCCCTCCTCCCCGGCCTCCGCCCACCCCCTCAGGTGCCGCTTTCCTCAACAGTTCAGGTTCACTTTGTTCATCTCTGACTTAATGGACAGAAACAGACTGGAGAGCGAGTTCCATCACTACTGTACTTTCTGCGTCTTTTTTAACAAAGGACCTTTTTTTTCCCCTCTCGTTTTGTCACTGTTTTTATATAGAAAAAGGATTTTTATATAAATATATATAAAATAAATATATAAAAAAAATGCTCCTGCTGATGCGAATGTTTCCTCTCCCCACCTCCTCCCGTCTGAAGCAGATTTTAATAAATGTTAAACATTTTAAAAGAAACTTAAAACCAGACCAAAAATCTGACAATTTGTAGTATTGACAGAACTGTAATTATTCTCTCCCCGACTCCCACCCCACCCCCCCCATCCCCTAAATGGGTCTCAAGTGAGTTGCTTTTGAGACGAACATGATTGAAATAATTGTGTTTTTTCTAACCTGCTGTCTTAACGGAAATGTTGTGATATCGTGAGATTGTAGGGGGAACCACACTTTCTCACTTTTCTGTGTAAGCGCCATATTTGCAGGAATCCTTGTATACGCACCAACCCCCCTCCCCACTCAAAACACTAGCTATGTCTACTATCTGACAGTGGGGGGAGGAGATGAGAGTGGGACAGGCAAAACAAAGTCGCAATTCAAACAAAATATCGAAGGGAACGCAGTACCAATTTGGGGGAAGGGGGAAATGGTATGAATGGGATCAGTGGGATTGGCATGGAGGGCAGCGTGGTGTGTGAGCAAACCTAGGAGCGTTCCTCTTTTCCTGTGTAGTATATTTTGTCACGCGACCCCCCCCCCCCCCATGCGGAGGGAGATTCCTGCAGAAATGGTTGTTGTAAAAAAAATATTAATTTATCTCATTAATCAAGAATATTTTAATTGTCTTTTTCCCTTGTTTTTATTTTTAAGGTGTGATATTTTGAAAAATGAAAAGATTCAATGTTTATTTCCATGTAAGGACGCGTTGAATTCTAGGATTCCAATGTGCCCTTTATCTTTAACTGTAAATCTCGGTGACTATACTTCCAGCAAAGCTTCACCCCAACTCTCTTGTAGAAACCTCTTCTGCAAAACTGTAATGTAGTTCAGTTATTCTGGCGGTTAAAGGAATTCCTAGTTAATTTTAACCTGATAATTTTCTCCCTCTGGAAAAACACTGGGGTTTGCTTGTTGGGGAATTTTTTTGCATCCTGGGGATGTGTCCGCACCAGCGAGTGTACTGTTAAGTTGGGGGTGGGGGGGGGGGGGGGCTGATGATTTGAGCGTAGAGGGCCATGTGCTCAGAATGAGCTAACGAAACACTACAGAAAGGAGAAATTCTTGCACAATTCCTGTAGAAATCTGTTGTGTGCTGATTTCCTAATGAAAACCACAAATTGTCAGAATCACATTATTGGGGGGAAAATGATTCCTCATATCCGCAGCTGGGTTTACTTCACAACCCACCGCTTATTTCGCAAACTCCTGTGCGGGTGCACTCTCTCTCTCTCTCTCTCTTTCTCACTTGTGGACTTTTTTCTCTCTTTCCCTCACCCTCTCCCATTTTTTTGTGAAACCAAATAGTGTGGAGCTTTGTACGTCTCTGGGTTGGCTCTGAATTGCTCCCAGAATTGCTCCTGTCGCTCAGTGTTTAGAGCACTCGCCTCGCAAACCAGAGGACCTGGGTTTGATTCCCGGGCAGGGCTGAAACGTTGGGCAGGTTTCCTTACTCCACACACCTCTGTTTACCAGCAAGAAGTAGGAACCTAATTGTTAATCAATTGGTGGATCACATTTTCTGGGGGTAATGATCCCTCCAAAAAAATAATGATAATTTGGTCACTCAATCTACAACTGCTTGTGGGGCACTGCTGTGTGCCATGTTTTGCTCACAAACTTTCTTGTACCAAACAGGAGGAGAGCACATTCTCAGCGATGGTTTCTGAAGCATTTGATGGGTGTGGTGTGACTTGGTGCTAAATGTCTTATTTTCAGGTGGGGGGAGAGAAATAGAAGTTCATGTCTTCTCCCCTTCACAGTAAATACCTCCTCACACTATCCCATTCCAATTTTTTTTTGGGGGGGTGGAGTGGATAAAGAGACCAACCTCTTTACTTTTCCCCTTCTCCACCTTCCCCCCCAACTCACCACCACTTTGTGGCTTAAACTCTTTTTTTAATCTTGTTTGTCTTTTGCACAATAGTTCTGAGGTACGGGTTGTAAAGCACATTTTAAAGTGAGCAGATGTTGATGTTGAATTGGGTGCGTTATGTTATTTTATTATTAAGCTGCATTGATGGAGAGGATTTGCCACACAATAATAAACTCCAGCATCATTTTTATATTAATTCTCCAAGCTGGAGGGTGGGTGGTGAGGGGAAAGAGCTTTTATAATGTACAAAGAGCAGTGTTGACTTGCCTGCTCTCTTGCCTTCGCCCCTCTCTTGCCCCCCCCACCCCCAGCCTCTGGCAACTACTAATTGAAGTGTGAGTCCCCTATATTCAATGGGGTGATCTCTCTCTCTCTCTCGCTCTCTCTGTTGCTCTCTCTCTCGCTCCCTGTGATGTAAGCATTTGTTAGAGCATTTGTGATACTGAACCGTGTTCTTAATCTTGAACCAAAAAGAACTTGAGCAGAGATTGGGCTGTCACTCCCTTCTCTGTTCGTTTTGGGACCCGGGAGCCTGGTGGTGGGTGAGTAGGGGTGGGGGGAGATGGAGATAGGAGAATAGAAGGGGTGAGAGTAGGCTTGGATGTGGTCCTGGCACGTGGAGTGGGAAGAGCCTGGCTTTGTGTGTGATGGGTGGTGAGGCCCAACGATATAAACCATTGGTACTCTGTCCACATGATCTGCCCTGATATTGGGGGGTAGGGGCAGAGAGTGGGGTTGTTGTTATAACCAGCCAAAGGTACAATGTCTCCTAATACAATTGTTCCTCGTCTTCCAGTTGACTAATTTTATCTGAATAAAAAAGTTTTGTTTTGCTGTATTTTTTCCCCCCTCCAGATCTGTACATATTCATATGTTTTAATTTGTTCTGTTACTGGATGTATTATGTATAAATAAAACATTATCTTTACATCAGACCAGTACTGGGGGGTTATTTTAAGGGGCGGGGAGGAGGCGCGGGGCAGTAATAATATTTCTTGCATTTGATGCAGCGCCTTATGTCGTTGAGACGTCTCAAAGCGCTTCACAGGATACACTGTATACTGCGCCGCAGGATCTTTAAAGTCCTCCTGAACAGGCAGACGGGAGTTTGGTTTAACGTCTCATCCTAAGGACGGCATCTCCAACAATGCAACAGCTCCCCGCACACCCAGAGCGTCAGCTTAGCCTATGTGATTCCAACATCCTTCTGACTCCGAGGTAAAAGCGCTACCGCTGAGCCAGGCTGACACGCAAACAAACCATTGTGTAGTGCAGCGACTGTATTTTGTAGGTGAACGAGGCAGCCAATTTGCAACCAGCGAAGCAATGTCCCACATGCAGCCATGAAGTGAATGGTCAGGATAAATGGGTGACCAGACAATACAATAAATTAAGGTGGCAAATTTGAACTCACTTGTTCAATACAACTCAATATTAATCCTTCACACAGTTGAATTATCACTCGGCCATTTCAGTTCCTTTCTCTTTCCCTCCCCACCCCACCTAAAGCCGCCCTCTCGTTAGCGGATTCCTCGTGTTTAATGGAAGCCTGGCTCCGTCCACACATTTGCTCTCTGTTGTTTTACTTGCTAAGGGTCCCTTTGGTGTGACTCACGTTTCAGAGGAACAGAACAAAGGAGCAAAGGTTACTGGATTTAATGACTTCAGTGCAACACAGCTGGGAGTTGGAGGAGAGAGAGCGAGTGTGTGTGTGGCGATGATCATTGCCTGCTTCCCTCCCAGGAATTCATCATAAAAAGGAGACTGGGGGCCGCTCTCCTCCCCCCCCCCCCCACACACACACACTTTTGCTCCAATACTAACAGTGCTTATCAGATCTCATGTCAGGTCTTTGAGAGAGGAGCGTTGTCATAAGGTGCCATCCTCTTGGATGAGACATTGAGGCCGGGAAGAGAATTTCTCTCTCTGCTGGTGTCCATTGGAACCATTGAAAACCAAGCCTGGATATAGAGGCCCAAGGCCCTTGGGCAGTGATCATATATAGCCCACCAGTCCTCTGGCTGCTGTGTGTCCAAATCTGATCCCAGGGATGTGTGTGGTTCTCTAATCTGACACACCAGTCCCTGTGTCCTCTGCCTGATGCAGGTTACTCAACCCTGTGTCACCGTCCTCCCCCCTACCCTCCAGCCCTCCTGATCCCAACCCGCAGCTCAGGTCCTAATCCCTGACTCTCCAGTGCCTTAGGACCTCCTCCCGCTGTGAAAGATGACGTAAATAGCGACAACTTGTATTTACTTCTACATATATTTCACCCACAAAATATACACTACTTTTCAGTATATCCTGTGAAGCGCTTTGAGGCATCTCAACAATGCGATAAATACATTTTATTTAGGAAACGTTATGAAGCTCTTTAATGTGTTTTGATGTAACGACAGGCCCTGTGCCAAAATTATTTATTTGTGATCACAAAAAGGCACATGTTTTCTCCGCTTGGCTTTGCCTAGCGGATCCAAGACTGTAAGGAGAAGATGTGTTTTGCAGAAAAGTGAGGGCAAGTGTTCTGGGGGAAATGTTCAGGGAATATTCTAATCCAGGAAGTTCAGCTTGGCTTCGGAGTCACATTTCCAGTATTATTCTTGGGCCCCAAGTTTTCTGGGAATGAAAGGGAAACAGTGTGGAGTGGGGCCGGGCGGAGGTGCAGTATATCAGGCGAGTGCGGGCGGATTTTAATGGGATTGGGATCAGAATTGCCTTGGAGTGACAGGTGAGTGGGTTCATTCCTGGCTCTGCTGAGCTTCTGTCACGACCCCCCAGGGTTCAAACCCTGGGGGAAACACTGGGGAGGTGGGATATGAGAGAGCACAGCATTGTCAGATGCACTGTCCTTCAGCTGAGACATTAAATCCGAGTTTCCCACATCTGCGCCTGTTGAGCTGGAGTCAAAGATCATGGGACGCTATTGGGAAAGAGAAGGGAGTTTCTCTCTCTCTCTGCTGGTGTCCTGGCCAACAATCCCCCCAATAAAACTGGTCGTTCACGACTATTATGTGCGCAAATCGG